AACATCCTGTGATTATAGGATCTCCATTTGCAACCCTCACTTCCACCTTCCAACAAGTAAAGTCTATTTGAAAGCCGGTCGGAGCTTGCAAATGGTGATTATCTGATCTTATATCTAGTGACCGAACAGAATTTGGGGCAACTGGAATTGTTACTGTCAGTCAGTATGGTCACATGACATTAGCAATAGAGCTCCTAGTCCCAATTACCATTATTAACTTACATTGTTAACAATTACCATTGTTAACTACTGAGGACTACCTACACATTTGTCTGTGAATTGATTTAGTTTAAATAATATGCTAAACCAAAACCAAACAAATCAGATATTGGATCAGTGTGGTATGTGAAAAGTGTGATATGTGACTGTGGATTATTGTGTGTTTTTCAACCCCTAATTACAGCTTGTTCAATAAAAATGATTCAGCAAGATGTGAACAAAGTTCACATTTTAATTTGGAGTTTCTATAATCATCTACATCACTTCTACAATAATCCCTTAACCACTCCAATATTTTGATTTTTTCTGAATGGTTACATTACTCTGTGTAACTGGTGCTTTGGTTTGTTATTTTTTCCTGATGTACTGAAGAATTATTAAATCAATGACAATTTTGACAATTTTGATAAGATGATAATTTATCCCACAGTGTTACCCTTGTTCTTGAATTATGACTGATGTTACTTAATTAAATGTTTTATTCATATGAATAACTTTCTATTCCATGTACCGTATGTTAAATAGACTTCATTCTTTGTGAACATTATTGCAGTTTCCCCCCTTTTCTGCTTGAGTGTGTTAATTCACTTGGTTTGAGCTGTGAGTAACCTGCTTCATGTATGGATGAGATTAGCACATCCATAGTGAAATTGTGGGATTGTAACTAAGTAGACCTGGCTTGTTTTGTAGTCATTGCAAAATGAGCGTGTCAGAACTGACTTTAACCTTTTCAACACCTGAGGCAAAAAGGTTGAGTAGTCCTATTGTATGGTTGTAGAGAGCATCCTGTTTCTATTACTACTGAGGTAACCTTTGCACCAAAGTTTCTGATCACTGCTGTCTCATCCAGATATGGATGTTGCAAGAAAATATATACTCCTTCCCTGTCCTATACTATTGCTGAACTGAAATGTTACCCTGAGGTAATGAGGCAGGATAATGAGAAAAAGCAAAAAACATGTTCAAATTTAATATTGGGCATATAAATATTCTACAGTGGTTGTTACTTGGACATTGGAACAACCACACAAGCCAGTTTTAACACATTTCAGCATGCCAGGTGCCATCATGGAGGACATATTTCTTGAAACTATAAGAGTTTGAGTCAGAGTCCCATGCAGCTGGGACAAAAATGTATCGCAACTCTACCTTATTACATGGATAAAATATTTCTAAATAAAGTGATGACAAATGTGGCTTTAGCTAATGTGCCATTCTTCCATAACAGTTGAGGTATTGTTAGGTGTACTGCTGTCATCCCAAATGTATTGTGTAGACCTAGGAGAATATGCTACCTTCTCTGCCCCATTTTTCCTTAAGAAGGTTGACCTTGGGCCTAATTCCCTTTCACATAAAAAATCTACATTTCAGTAGACTTCCAGGCTTGTAGTTATCCGTTCAAGATGACAAAATAAATTTTAATGCATGTTTCCCAATATTTACAGTTAATCATCCATAGATCTGATGCTTTTACTACAGCAGCTGGGAGCCGGCAGGGGGGAATATTAAATCTGTGGCTATATTTAGATGTTTTTCCCTAGCTCATTGAAACTTTTACAATAGCTTTTCTGTTTATTTGATTTATGCCTCCCCTGCCCATATTGTCTGGTGCTTTATGTCAGACTTAGGCCTTTCGCGGTATGTACTGCCTGTTTCCCCACTTGTTCTATCTTGCAGGCAAGTCCCAAAGAGATCTCATTTATTTTGTGCCTTAGAATGTGGTTCCTTTGTTGACAGCATAATTTAAAGAGATATATGGATGACTGAGAAATCATTTGCCCAAATTTGGCCAGATGTTTTTTAGACATGATTGGAATTACATTGCCCTTGTCTGCAGGGCCAGGCAATATTAATGTCTCAAAACTTCAACTGCTTCCGGACCCCAACTCCTGCCTTTGGTTTTTGAAGATGCAGATATGTTATCATTTGGCATGTAACTTCAACATTTCCATTTTTAATTTTTTACCGTTTTAATACTTCTAACAGTTGAGACCCACAAATAGGATTCTTTAAATTTTCAGTCACCTGCCATCACTTTCAAAGTATCACAACTGAGCCATCATATTGTAATACAGCTTTATTTATAACTTCATTTCATGCCAAATTACTATTTATATACAGTGCCTTCCTGTAAATCATATTGCCCTGTGTAGAAAATGGATGTTGGAATCAATTGCCTTGCTCCATATTTCTAAATGTTTGTATAATGGATGGATTGCATTGGCATGCACCCATCTCACTGGCACATCTGTCATCTCAGCTTCTGGATTGCATCAATTTGTCAATTTTAATCAACTTTCTATAGTCAGCATAAATCGTTGAGTTTAGAAAATGTGACACATTTACCCTACTTATTATTTACTTTGGCACTGCATTTGCCTAATTGAAGTCTTGAACAACATGGAAGGAACTAGAGTGTTACCAGTGGGACGTTAATGAGCAGGCATGACTAACATTCTGTCTGAATTTTTCTATGCATCAGAACTAAGAGCAAGGTCAAAATTATTCCTGATAATTAGTTTTTCATTTAGTACAGAAATTGGGATGAAAATCATTCTAAGGCTAATCAAATAAATTAAAATAAAACAGATTGTAAGGAATTTAATCCAACAGTTGAATGACCTCTGGTGCCTACTACTGGTCTTACTTATTACTTACTTACTTACTTACTTACTTACTTACTTACTTACTTACTTACTATCATTCATCATTCATTCATTCATTCATTCATTCATTCATTCATTCATTCATTCATTTATTATATTTCTCCCTCAAAGAGATAGAACTCATGGTATATGGCCACCCAATTCACACATAGATTACTTGACTGGCTTACAACATTTAAAAATCCACACATAAAAATCTCATCCTACCCATCCATGGCCTCAGCAACACAATCAAATCAACCACTTGATCAGCTCCATCTCCATTCGTGGTCCTCAGGCCCACTGACAAAATCAGATTTTTAGGGCCTTTTGGAAAAGCAACAGGTGGAGGCTAAGTTTACCTAGGGGGAAATGATGCTCCATAGAGAATGGGTGGCCATCGAGAAGACCCTTTTTCATGGTCCCACTAGGTATACATCCCTAATCGATGGGACCCAGAAGATACTCTGCCCTCTTGTCCTGGTGGGCCAGGTGAATATAATAGGGGAGAGGCAGTCCTTCAAACCCCTAGCACCAAGTCTTGTAGTGTTTTAAAAGTGGTAGCCAGCAACCATTGTAGTTCTTTTAAACTGAATGTTTGTTATATGGGTATGTGTGCATGCTGATGTAGTCTGTTTAGGATTGATAGGTAGCTGTACAGCAATATCAATAAAATATGTATGCATATCTGTGATATCCAAGTCCCTCTATGCATTATTGACATCAGTGTGAATTATTAAATAAATTAATAAAATGGAAACAATTGCATTTCTGAGTTATGCATGAATTCAACCTGCATAGCTTTCAGCGTCATATTGTATATGTGTGCATTTAATATATATTTGAGAATATAAAAAGTTCTTTCTGTTTAAAGTTTCTATTTTCATAATAATTCCAAATCCAGAAAGCACACTGGAGGTACAACTTCTGGTATCTCTGGCATTATTGTTTTTCAACTCTCCTTATAAATACTTATTTATTGTTGAGGAAGGCGATACAGGATTCTAATTCTAATATAATAGCCCTGCTAAAATTGATGGTCCAGATATAGGTTGTCATAGAAAGAAAAAAAATACCTGTTAGTTGCAGTTTAAGAATTGGTTTGTTTAATTTTGGGCCAGCAAGTTTGGTGAACTAAGCCACTATAGTTTGTGAACCATGATTTATGGTGAAGAGCCAGTCACTAGTACGTTATTTAACAGTTAAAGAAGCTATGGAACGTATAAACCTAGTCTGCCTTGGCTGATGGAACTAGAAAGCCGACATTGAGTTATGAAACTAAGAATGGCCATTCTGGTTAAATCTTGGAGAGACTAATAGGGCTGTATATTAGCCTGGAAGTTTTTAAAAAAACGGCCCCAAAGAAGGCAATACCAAACCACTTCTGTACTGTTTCCAGAAAAATATCTGTATCAAGTTGAGTTCAGCTCAACTTGAAGGAGATTTTACTTTTTTCTTTAAACTTTGTGCAGGTTATGCTGATAAAAGAATTGTAGACAAATGTCCAGCATGCCTCTTTAACCATTCTGCTGACTTGCATAAGCATTGGTTCACTTGAGTATGTCATCTTGTGTTATCTCTGTGATCTATAGATTACCTGAAATGTCAAACTTCGTAAGGACTTTTCTCCTTATTACATTATTACAGCTACCAGATTTGAGCTGCAGAAAAACAGATGATTACTAGAAAGAGCAGAGATACAGAATGCTCTAACTCTTCACCATTGTTTGATGACTGTCCCGAATTTTACAGTCTAGATCGGGGTGTCAAACTCATGTTGTCACAGCAACGTCGTGTGATGTATTGGGACTTTTTCCCCCTTTGCTAAACCGGCTGTGGGTGTGGCCAGCGCGTGACACATCTGGCCCGCGGGCCAGGAGTTTGACAGCCCTGGTCTAAATCATTAATTAGCTTTCATTGTTTTGAATGCGAAGGATATTTGAAGTGAGATACTTGGTGACACAAGTACAATTTTTAAAATAATAGAATTCAAAGAAATCTCTTCACCATAATGAAAGAATGCTTTAATTATCAGATTTTGGTAGGTTGTTTTTTCCCCAAAAGTACTGATAGTCATCAGAGTTCTCTAATCCTGACTGATCTAATCCTCTTGTCATCTGCTTTCTTCCTCTCCAGGCAAATGTGTAAAGAATTTACTGATCTTTTGGCCCAAGACCGGACACCCATTGGCAATAGCCGACCAACACCCATCTTGGAGCCAGGGATCCAGAGCTGCTTGACTCACTTCAGTCTCATCACTCATGGCTTTGGCTCCCCAGCCATCTGTGCTGCCCTGACTGCTCTCCAGAATTACCTGACGGAAGCTCTCAAAGGCATGGACAAGATGTTCTTGAACAACAACTCTGCTAACAGGCACACTTCTGGGGAAGGACCAGGTAGTAAAACTGGAGACAAGGAAGAAAAGCACAGAAAATGAAAGAGAGAGAGAAAAAAAAAATCAGAAAGCAAGCTAATGAAAATAGGGGGTAAAACAGAAAGAAAAGGAGAGATTGAGAGCGATCCTTTGGGAGGAAAAACATTTAATTTTAGCTTTAAAATATTGGATTGGGTTTTGGAAGAATTACGCTAGGTAGGTCACATCTGCAAGTAATTTTAAAAAGAAAATAAGGTCAGAGGCGCACAGTGGAAGAGTGGCTCAGTGGCTATGGCAAAGGAACTTTTGAAGATAACATCCAGGATTTTCCACTTCTGTCATCCCACAATACTTTTTTAAAATAATTTTTGGTGGGGATGAAATTATAACAGATAAAAGCAATCAATAATTTATTGGAAGAATCATTTTGATAATGTTGCTATGTTGGCCGAGGTACACAGTCTGTTTCTGTATTATTACTATTTTTAAAAACCTATCTAAAGTAGAAAGAAAAACCTAAGGGATGGATATATTTTATATTGGACTGTCCCATTCAGAGCAAGTTTCCTGATTTTGTGCAAATTTTTTGCTGTTCTCTCTCTGTGTGGTCTGAATAACTGGGCCTCAAATTGGTCAGTAGCATTTGGCCAAAATATTTCCTAATAGTGGAAAGAAAGGGGGAAATCTGGGTCTGTCCAAACTATGAATCATTAAGAAGAATTGTTAGTAACTACACGCAGAGGTGATGGGTTCAGGCTGTGAAAATGTTAAAATGTAACCAACTACTATATGGATGAGTAAGTGGAAGAGCTAATGGATTGCTCTCAGGTGCCTCTGCTTGCTCTGGATACCTACCTAAAGTGTTAATCAAAAGCTGCCCACTTAACATATTTAATCCTGAAACTTGGGGGCTGCAAATAATCATTTTTTTCTATCCATAAGGATGTATATAATTTGTGTATATATGCTCCATTAAGGTATTGGATTGGATCCAGACTTGGTCATATTTGGAGGAGACCCGTTGTAATCAAAATTAGCCATTTCTAACTCTAGACCTACAACTCAGCATGACTAAGTCTGAAACCAAATAACTGCCCATGAGAGTAAACCCTTTGTTTCATAATAAAATATGCCTATCATGAAGTAAACATTTTCATGAAGTTGTACCTGTGAAAAAAAAAGTTGCACAGGCATGCAACAACTGTGAAGAACAGGAAAGGGAAAAGGAACATTTCTTTTTGTGGATAGATATAAAGATCAACATGCCTTTTCTTTTCAACTGCAACTTTTTTCATAACTACTGTTGTACGGAGGGCAAATGTTACTACTGAAATGGCCCTGTGCCTGAAACTGGTAATCTTTATTCCTAGTTTGTTTGATAAAAAAAATTCTAAAATACACATGGAGCTCTCACCTGGAACACTACTTTTTACATTTCTATGAAATAACTTGTCCTATTGAAGGGGAGGGCTCACAGTGCCCCACAAGAGGCACAAATGAAAGTGTGTGCTACAAAACTGAAAATCCATGTATGGAAGAGACTCATGTATGCATTGGAGTGCAGTTAGGCCTCCTAGACTGGGAACAATAATGGTAGAGATAATGTCACAGATAATGGTATCAATCTGTACATTTTTATACTAAAATTTGAGCAATGACTGCCTCTCTTTAAAATGTCTCAGATCACAGACACACTCTTTGTTGTTTTAAAGAAATGTTAATAAGAAGAATGTCTTGATAAGTATGTTAAACCTTCTCAGGAGTATGCACCTTTTTAATTTTCTTCTGTTTCCCAAAGCTTTGCCCGCTTGGCTTATGAGCTTCTTCAAAGAGGACTAGAGCTCCGTACACATTTCATCAGGTACTGAGATGAAAATCCACAATTCTGACACTTTTCCTTTTCAAATCAAAGTCAGTTGTTTTGGAATTCTGCAGGTGTACTTCTTTAAAGAAGCTCAAAGGGAATAGATTAAGGCTTCACTAACTGAGCAAGTGATGCTGATTTAGAGACAAATACTATGTCCTCCAAAATTATATATATATATAAAAGAATTGGGAGGTGGGGCAATAGTGTTTGATGCACAGAGTAAAAGCAGATTTGTTAAATATTACCTTCTCTAAAAGAGGAAATATAAGAATCATGATTCATTATTAAATTAGTATCTAAATTTAAGGAAATCCGTTTCCCCTCGTTATCAAAGGAGTGTTGCAAATTTTGACTTGGAAGACAAATAGTTGTCTTGACCCTGGAGTGGAAGAGGAGGAATTGGCCATTTTCCAATAACTTGCAGTGATTAAGTATAAATTACATTTTTTTAAAAAAAACATATAACTCCTTTTTTGGAGTAGGTAGGAAAAGAAACCATCCTTAAGGGGAAAATGAATGTCACCCTGCATGTTATCACTTTGCAAAGGTTTTGTTGATTTGACAGTGGCTATGGTATTTCATGCATTTTGAAAGATTGTTTCCCTTTGTCACAACAGCTTGTGTCTATGCTTCATTTTGGCCTCACATACTGAATTCATTCTAGAAGATGAGAATAGGATAAAGATGTATTATGCCTGCCACCCTGATCCTAAACACATTATATGGCTGTAAGTTCCATTAATTTTGGTGGAATTTAATTCCACTTAAGGGAACATTGAAGGCTTGGGTCTATGGCTAATCATCCATGCGGAAGTCAATTTTTTATTTGAAATGCAGTTTTCAAATGCTATTTGGGTACTTTCAGCAAGAGATCATTTCACACTATAAACTGGGATCACATAATACAGCAGTGGTTAATGTTTCATTTGAAGCAACTGCACATATCATATGCCAGACAGTTGCATCTTTTGCAGCATTTATACACAAAAGTATCAATTTGCAGATGCTTGAAATATTCTTAATTTATAATTATCGGTACTTTTTCCATATAGGAAGCTATACACCATACGTGCTAAATTATGTATTGTGCATTTAAAAGCTGACCCTGTGGTTCCTAATTCCCAACCAAGCCGATTTAGATGTACTTAAAACTATTCTTTCACACTGAGTGATTTTGGTGTCATGAATTCACCTTTTTGTTTGTTTTTAATGAGACATGTTCCCAAGCTCTTAAATAGGAGTCTATTGTCTATGGACATCTTAAGGCACCATTTTTGAGTATATTTATCTAGGCAGGAAATTTTATCAATCTGTGGAGCTTCCATCTATCTATAATATCTAACTACTAAAATTGCAGTTCTATTGACTTTAATAGGAATTGATTTAATGCCAACCATTAGTTCATTTGTGGGAGAAACTTTGAATTCTGATCTTAATTCATACCTGTCCAATTTCAGTGATGTTTTAGGAGGATGAATGATTGAGCACAGCATTTCTACAATAAGATTGTGATCATGGCTATTGCAAAACTTGAAAAATATTAACTGAGCTTCCATATGACATTAATTCATTTTAATTAGGAATATAGTAAAAACAATAGTTATGAAGTCAACATACTTTTTATTTTGTTGGAGAGTGATATTATCTTAGTGTAGCAGCCATTCTATTCTACTTGAGGAAAAAGATGTTGGTTCATTTTTGCTGCCTTTAGTTCTAGTTTTTTTTAAGCTGCCCAATTTATCAAGGCAATTAACAGGCAATTAACAGTTAATATATTAAATATTGCAGTTTAGTAGGAATTGTCCCTAAGGAAAAAGAAATGTCTTCATCATGAAACACAATAAAGTCAAAACTGCAGTTCCATCTACCCAGGCTGCTACATTTATTTTTCAGAGAATTGAGTATGTGTTTGACTTGATCCTATTAAAGCCAATGGAATTTAAATGTTCTTAATATTGACTGGATTACACAGCATACTTTTAAGATAACTTCCTTTATATGACATACTTAAAAATTGTATCTTGTTTGTATGTCTTGTCCATTCCAGCATCCAGAAAGAAAGAAGAAAGGAAAGACAATGGATCTTTATGTTCATACTATTTTAGAGGACACTTTATGTTATTTGAAGGCAATTCCAGTATTGATTACTTTTCTATTTTCTCTGAATTTAGGCTTTCTTGCTGAATTTTATAAATATAGCAAGTTCCCTATTGCAAAATAAAAATAATTTACTATTCGTCCTGTTGATGTGAACATGAAAGATCCAAATTGAATTAACATTAAAAAGGCCTACTGAGGAAATATTCCATTACTTAAAATTCAACTGCTTGTGCCTAAGATACAGATTATCATTAAATTAAACAAGACATTGAGGCAGAAGAATTGAAAAGTTGAACAGCTAATCAGGAGATATATTGCTCTTAATGGACCTGTAACTGATATCGATTACTGAATCGCCTGCCTTTTACTTTTAAATGCTGCTAAAGTTTGTTGCATAACAACCCAGAGAAACCTGATTTGCTGTTTTAGAATAAAATTTGAAAGATTATTTGGGTATGGGAAGACCAATTATTATTTAGCTTTAAAGAGCAGGTGTTTGGAGGCATTATTTGATTAGCATGTCCCAATCTCAGCTTGCTGACCCTCAGACTAATTTTGGGTATGCATATGAAAGACAGAAGGAAATAGAAAGAAATGCCAGTGGTTTTACTGGATAGGGTCTTCTGCCCCAATAACTTGTTAACTATTCCAGGAGAATATTCTTTCACAAGGTGTTTTGTTTTGTTTTTTTGGTATCACCAACAGATTCTGTGACCCTGCAGCAGAATGCACAAATGGATTGAGCAGTATTGTCTACACACTGATTGGCATCTTCATATTTTCAGAGATACATTTTGTGCAATCCATCCTTTGCTATGCCAAGCCCTACTCTTCCCCCATCTCTTATTTTTGGTAATTTTATTCCTCATCCCATTTTTTTTTCTTAAAGAGCTTTGTAAATTACTCAAGTATATAAAAAATTGGCTGCCCATGCTACTGTTACATCACAGCTGCAGGACCCAACTTTTTCTTGAAGCAATGTATTCAAGTATTAGTCATCAATTCAGTCTTAAAAGTAATTGATACCATTTAAATCTCATGAATAAACACATGAGATTAATTCATGAGTGAGATAAATTTATGATAAAAATTAATTTATGAATCAATGATACCTTGGTCAAGTAAAAATAAAACAGTATTTCTCACTTTTCTAAACCCTATAAAACCATATAACATTTAAGCACTACCTATATAGTTCCACTACTGATCTATAGAATTATATCATAAAGTCAGTGCACAAAATTTTGTCTTACATAGTACTTTTGTACTGTGTCCCCTTCTTAAAGGACAGTATTGTATTACTGGAGGAAACAGTTTGGGATCCCCGTGGACTGCAGTTGTAGAAAAAATATCTTTGATCAAAACTCTTTAAAATGTCTGAGGAAAACTGAATGTTTTGATTACATGGGGAAAAACATAGAATTGTCGTTTTAATTCATTTGATTTCCCCAGTATTTTTGCAGGATTGGGGGAGAAGGGATTAAGTTCTTGTCGCAGCTAATATCTAAATAGGAAGAAACAAATTTGCAATATCATTAAAAATAGCTCATAATATAATCCTTAGCAGAAGAAACTATTTGAAAATTCCTGTGTATCAAACTGCTGTAAAAGAATCTAATAGGAGAAAACAAGCATTCCTAAATTCAGAGAAAATTCTGTTGAAAAATAATATAGTTTTGAGATTATATACATTTGTGGCAGCTAAAAGGTATCTACCACTGTTGGTTCTCTTGCCATTCATTTCTGTTCTTTGATGAGAATGTGAACTTTCCCCATTCTCTGCATTGTGATGCTTCATCTACTGTGCTTACTGGAATTCTTGTAAGCAGCCATTAAAGGCACAAGATTTTTGACAGAAAAGGAAGATACAAACTGAATAAGAAACCAGTGTTCAGACTTTTCCATTTTTAGGCTCTCTTGATCAGTCAGTGGAGAAGGGTAAATTAAACTGTATTTTAAAGGGTAAATTAAACAGCATTCCACCGAAGACTATGACCTGCAATAGATCACAGTCTTTGGTGGAACAGATCCTCCCAGGCATAGAAATGATGTGAGGCTTTATCAAGAGTTCCCCCAAAGTCACTTGAAATAAAGTAATTGTCTCCCTCTTTAACAATCCAATTGTTAAATCAACCTTATTCTCCATTATTATAGAATTAAGATTGGCTGCTACTTTGTTGTGTCACTTAAAAACTAAATTTGGAACACACTGATAAATACTTTGCCAAACACTGTACCCAGGCTTTTGTGCTTCCTGCACATCTTGTTCTATGCTTGGAAATTGTTCTCCTTTGTTTAAATATTCTGTTGTATATGAATAAATACACATATGGCTGGAGTAGCTTTGTTATAACACCGCACCCCCCCCCCCAAATTAAAAGAAAGACCACTGGTAGTTGTTCTGAAGCCAAACAGGCGTGCTACCATGTGTAATTGTTGGGTAATTTGAAATGTCCCTTTACATAGCTCTCCAGTTCTGCAACTACAGTTAGTATCATCCATCAGTGGCACTGCTGGCAAGAGCTGATAGAGTGGTCAATACCATCTGCAAAGCCACAAGGTATTCTTGCCCAGGAATCTTATTTCTGATAGTTACCAGTCTGTTTTTCAGCTGCATGAAATAAGAAGAATTGATGCTATGAATAGCAGAGGTTCTTGGCACCTGTTGTTTCTTCTGGCTGTCAGCAGCTTCACATTCAACAGGTGCAACTTTTCCTATTACTGTCTTCTGGCCAGTTTTGCAGTAGATAAAGTCTCTGAGCCACATAGTAATAGAATCGCCTTACTGGAAACATTCTGTTTGATTTCTAGAGTAATTTAGAGAGGAAGGTTGCATTAGTCATGAGTATTTAGCATCTGCATCTTAAAAAAAATGGTTTGAAAGGGAATTTCTGAAATTTGTTTTCAATGAAACTTTCTTTCACTTTAGGTTTAGTATATTGGTGGACAAGCATGTGACAATTGCTTACATCAGGCTTCCTTTAAATGAAACCAGCAATTGTGAAAGAAAGGACTGTTTGACTCTTTTCCTCGAGGTGGTTTCTCTTTGAAATGGCCTCCCTTTGCTTTCTGTCCAAGCTCTCTATTGCAACCACTTTGGTACACCTGGGGAAAAACTACATGTTATTGTAAGGCATATCCCATAGACACGGAAGGAAAATGGGAAAGTACAACTTCCCTGTGGCCAGGCTGGCAATCAGTCTGAGTGAAGGAAAGCTCTGAATTCATAGCCTTCTCTTTTCAACTTCGGCTCAATCAATTCATCCAGTTAGCTGACTGAGTTCTCAGCAGTTTTCCAGAGGGAGGGGGCAATACATCACCCTTGAGATAGTAATGGAACTACAATGGCAGCATGACTGGTAGGGAAGGACAATGGAACTGTAGTAATTCAAGACATTTCAAAGGAAATGTATGTGTGTGGAGGGGGAGGAATGAACCATCACCCAACCCTAAATCCTACACACACACACACACACACACACACAAAGCCCTGAATGATCATTGGTGATCTAAAGAATAATTTGGGAAAACAGTGCCTTCTGTTGACAGTTTAAAGGCATCCTCCCATTCCATCCTTGCCCAATTATCTGCTTAAATTTTCATTAAAAGAAAAACTGCCAAAGTGGTAGGGATGACTATCCACTAGTGGAACAAACTAGCTGCTAAATCAATTACAAGCACCTTGCTCTAGAGTTGCTTATTAGACCGAGGTGTGATCCCTGCTCTTCCACTGGATTTACCTTAGAGGCATTTCCATGTATTATTAAAACCTTTGTCTTTCTTTTGCTGAATGGTAATAGAAGTAATGGAGCAGGGGATTCTTACAAACATATTGTTAAATCAAATATATAGCTGGTTGAAAAAAATCTGGACAATGACTAGATGGCAGCAGAGATACAACAGAGATTTCTTAGCTGTTTCTTCCACATAGTGGATTTTTGTTACCCAGAAAGAGTGTCTTTAAGGGAGTCTCCTCCTTTTTTCAATGATGATGGTGATATGTCTTCAGCACTGAATGCCCCCCCCCTTTTTTGTGGGACAGCTCTGACTAAAATTTTCCACCCTTCTTAAAAGCAACTTATCTGCAGTTAACAAATTAATGCTTTAATTGCACTGATGTATGTTCTCGGCCATATGTTTATTAAAATATATGTGTGAGTGTATGTTTTCCAGTATTGGTATTTGTTTTCTCCAATTTTCTATCTTATGTTTTTTTAAAGAACATTTAAAATGAACAATGATGTGTGCTGAGAAAGAAAACATGGGTGGCTATGAGCCTGGGCCGTGTAACCCCTTGCCACCCACCCGTTCTATGAAACCCATTCTAGGAAAGTTAAACCCTTGTGAGCGTAGAAGGGAATCTGTGCTCCCACCATGAATTTTTAAGAACTGAGGACTCAAAAGAGTAAAGCTATAAGGAGGCAAATTCTTATACAAAAAATAAGACTGGGAAATCAATTACATTCTCTTTTTATGTTATGACAAAACATTTAAAACAGTAAAACTGACTCCTATTCCTGAATAGTCTTTCCATTAACAGTGGAAAAAATATCAATTGTTTTAGGGTCTCTTCCAGAAAAGTAATGGGGTGGGTTAAAAAATGGGAAAGGTATTCAATGATGAGTTTGTATATATTTATTTATGCTTAATTTAATGGGATTGTGTAAATACAGCAAGCAAGTAGTTTGGGGATTATTTATCTGTGACTATACCTCTGTGAATGGGTGGGGAATTTAAATCTTGGGAGGGTTGAGATCAAATAGAGAAAAAGACAAAAAAAAAAAATAATACAAGCGCTTGATACTAGATAGTACCCAATCTGATTTTTTTTTTTTCATTCTTTATCGACAAACTGTTATGGTAATGGGTAGAACTTGGTTTCTTGTCCAGTGATGACCTGATTTACATAAATAAGAAGAATAAAAAGATTGTTGTGTTTTGTTGTATTTTCCTCTTCAGATTTTTCCCTCTCTCTTTTTTAACAAAAAACCAAAACAAAACATTGGTGCTGCTTCAGTGCTGAAGATGGATTTACTTCTGCAGCCGAGAAAACAAACAAAAAAGCTTTCCCATTCTGGGCTTCTGGGAAATTCAGGACCTGGTTCTACGGTGAAAACAAAAACAAGCAAAAAAATAATAATAAACGTTGCTTCTCAGAAGTGTTTGGCCATTTGACTTTGTCTGAGCTTGCTGACCGTTTCCCCCCCCCCCCCCCAAGCAGCCTCCCCTTTCCTTTTTTTTCCCTGACGAGTTTCTGCTTCCGCACCGCCGCCCAGGTGTGCGAACCCCCAAGACGGGGCGGGGGCGCGGATTGTCCGTGCTCCGAATCCCGCAGCCTCGTCGCCTTTTCAGCAAAATTTCAGCAAAAATTGACAGGCAGACGCAGCCGGCTCCTTTTGTTAACCGCTCTGAGAGTTGTCAGCCTCTCGCTGCCGAAAGCGCAGATTGTCCCTCGAGTCTTGATTTCGTGCAAGGGAGGGCTTGCTCCACCACCCCCTCCAAGTTTTAAGTGAGACCCGGTCCACCTCCCCAAATGGCTACATGGTTGAGCCTATGAACGGCACGATGGGGAAAAAAACAACACACCACAGAGTGGGAATATTAACGGAGTTGGGTTAAAGACAGGCATTTTGACTGCATTGGATTTTTGCCCCATCTCTGGGAATGGATTTGACGCCTGTCACTTACATCCAGTTGGGGCGCTCGACGGGACCGCCTTGACAAGCCTTGTGTGTTGCCTGAGCTCCGGCAAGGAAACAAAACCTCCGGCCGAAGGGCTTGTGGAGGCGATTGGGGGTGAGGGGTGGGGAAGGGAAGGTAAGAACCCGAATTTAACCCTGCTTACCTTCTGCAGAGCCCAGCTTTGAATCGAAGCGGGTGACGCAAGAGTAATTCCAACTGAGTTCGATCAGTTTTATTCCCAAAATTGGAATCGTTTGGAATTTTTTTTTTTCAGTAGACGGGAATAGGATTGAGCACCTTGTTAGAGCAATCCTTTATTGCGAATGGAGTTGAATTCTCTGGAATTGACTCCAGCGCCACGAGGCTACAAAAGCTTTCGTTTTTTGCTTTCCCTTGGAGTTAAATAAAAGATTTGAGTCGTATTGTCGGCTGCCTTTAGATTAACTCGGCAATATCACCGAGTGATACTGTAAGATATTTTCTCACAACGGAAATGGCCCCTATAAAGTGAAATAAATCCTTACTCATTTTTAAACATCTTTCGAGGGGAGGGCATATGAATCTCACGAGTAAATAAAATTATTGTTAAATGGACATGATCCACCAATAAGAAGGAGGTCCCAATGTATTATTTTCCACTGAAATTAATAGTGCGGGCGTATGGGCGTGAATAAGGTCGTACTCTGCTCATTTGAAAAGAAAAGGGGGTAAAAAAAACCCAGTTCAGCCCTAGGATTGTAGTTTGGCGGTTCAATCAGATTGTGCAGAGGGTTAAGCCCAAGAGACCAAGCCCAGTAAACTGCCGCATCGGGATGTCTGCCAAAGAAAGCCTTTTGCATTTCAAGGCGAGGGTAAGTTGAGGGCAAAGACTGAAGGAAGCTTTCCGTTTTCATTTCAACGAAGATGTTCATCTTAATCGTCCTCCCAGTTTCGCGGTTTACCTTTTTATTGCTCAGTGTCCCAAATATCGGAGGGGGGGGGGAAGGAATTCCTCAAGTTTTATTTGGAAGTGCATCATAGGACTGACGTCATCTACTTTGATGTTCTTGGAAATGCATTTTGTAACTGAAGTTTATTAAAAGGCCCTATGAAAATATGACCAAACGAAGGCCAAATATTTGGAATAACAAATTTGCATTGTGTACACATACCGTTTCAATTCTAAACAAAATAATATGCAAATATTTAAATGCCTACATTTTTTATTGTTCTAATGGGAGGGGAGCGGGGAAGAAACCAGAACATTTCACTACTTTTCAATGAACTGTTATTCCTGTTGCAAATGAATTTTCTGCAAAAGTTCCTGGTGCATCTATGCAATCTTTGCCAAACCTGCTTCCCTGAGATATTCAGTTATAACTCCTTCCTAACATTCTTGCCCAGCATGGCCTATGATTAAGGATGATGGAAGATGTAGTCCATCAATCTGTATGCCAAAATCCAGTCATTCACCTTCCTTCCTTCCTTCCTTCCTTCCTTCCTTCCTTCCTTCCTTCCTTCCTTCCTTCCTTCCTTCCTTCCTTCCTTCCTTCCTTCCTTCCTTCCTTTGAATAGCTCCAAGCCCAGTGTTCCAAATCAACTTGTTCCAAACTGGGGCCTCCAGCTGCCATGGACTACAACTCTCACAATCCCAACTCAACAATCCCTTCACAGAATTGCCAACATGGTTGGCGGGCACCAAGATAATGGCAAGTTGGAACGCTTTTCTTGAGGTGTAAAGTTTTGTAGACTTGATGCTTTCTTAAATGGGTTAGTTAATGAAAACGAATCCTGTGTAGAACTTCATAGAAAGAAGATTGCTTTTGTGACTGAGAAAAATTTCTTTTAAGCTTGCAGCACAATAGCACCTCCTACTAGGCAGGGAGAAAATGTCTCTTTCCCATGCAAGTTTTGCCACTGTAGCAAGTAGAACAGGAAAAACAGAATCAAAAGTACACCAAAGAACGAAATATTTTTTATCCAGAGTTAATTGCCCCTTAGAATGTGATCCTCGGCATAGTGAGGTCATAAAGTATACATTAGGGATTTATGGTGTTATTTGACAATCGTGTGGCAATATAAAACCGCCTTTATTCTTGAAAGAGTGTAGGGCTATTTGGGTGAGTCTAGAAAAGGCTTCAAATCAATAAAGGGGGAATGGCCATAACACCAAAGCAAGCAGTAGAGACTGCAGTGTGGATTGTTGAAACCTTAAAACAGGTGGCAGCAAACAACTGAATGAGGCTCATCTCCATCTCTCTAAGCTGGACCCAATTACTATTTGAATGGGAGATCACAAGATACCCCAGGGCTATAGATTATACTGTGAAGTTGACATAAAAAACTCAGAAGGCAATGAGAAACCACATCAGTATTGCTGCCAAGGGCCATGTTGCCAGGAGCTGAGTTCCAATCAGCGGAGATTTTACTTTTACTGGAAAAGTTGACGTAAATGAGGCAAAGGCAGTTTGGATGTTTGAATAAGTAAAATACAGTCTTGACTTCTTATGACAGAATTGGGTCAAGAGTTCACAATCTAAAAAAGACTCTGCTCTTAAGCTTTTCTAGTAACTATTCAGCTTTTGTATTTACAGTAAATGCCCTCCTATGTGGTGGTAGTAGAAGAACTCTAATCTAGCCAAATAATCTGTTTAATCTTGATTTAAGTGAAATAAGGACTGGTTTCCAAGGAGAACTTGGCCAGAATTATCTTTAGTTAAATTGGAGAACAACTATATAAAGAGAATTAGAATAAAACTTTGAGTTACATGTGGTGCCCTCAGTGTTACAATTTTAAACACATTTATCCAGAAATGAGTTTATTTCTGAATAGGCATATACGCTAAACTGTTATTTTCTCTGTTTGAAGTGGCAATTTGGTCATTAAAGCTTTGCCTTAATGTATATAGCTATAAGCAGCATTTTGTTCCTTGAAAACCTCCGGGAGAACTCTCCTCTAGGCTTAACTTGAACTTAGCTTTGTAAGAACTGCCAGTTTGAAATAATTAGGAATTCTGCTTTCATTCTTTGAGAAAATACTTATTTCCTACGATGTACATTCCATTGGAATCAATGACATTTACTGCTTTGTCGATCTGTTTGCAATGAAGACAAAAGATTGAAAGCTTGGATTCACCAAGTGTTTATTTTATCACTGACTTTAGTGGAGCAATCCTCTATTCCTCCTCCCCCAATCACAGGCAAATGTGTGCTGTAACATATAATTTATATTTGAGTAGTCCCACTCAGTTCTATCTGACATGTCTTACAATATGTGCCTCTGGTACATAGCCTTATATTTATTACTATTATAAAAGACTTATCTGAAGAACTGTATCAATCAATTAAGCACTCATAATTTCCATTGTTTTAAATAAGGGAAAAGATGATGTGGCTTAATTATTCCACTTCAGAAAAATGTTAATGTCTTATTTTCATTAGAAAAATATGATCAAATGAATTTTATTACTGATTTTAAATAGTTCAGTTAAACTATACCTTTTCTGAGATAATGAAAAAATGTTGAATAAAGACTGCAGAGCTATGCAGATTTACTTGGAAATAAACATAATTATTGTTGCTGGGATTTGTATGATGATTAAATTGGAACAGTATATTAAAGAGGCTGAAATTAGGCTTAAACTTTAAAAATGTGTGCCTCTCAGCTCCATCCATTAAAATTCACCTTTACCAACAAGTTTTCCCTTCCCTTAGAACAGTCCATTAACAATATGTGGAGACTACAAATAAACTGCAAGCTGTAACACCTTTTAGATTATTTCTAGCTCTATATATCAGTTATTACCTTGGGGGAGAGGGAGGGGGGAGGGAGGGAGGGAGGGAGAGAGGGAGGGAGGGAGGGAGAGAGAAGAATGCAAAGATTTCTCACCACCACATAAAATGATCTCAAACCAGCACCCTCCAGATATTTTGGATTATAACTCCCATAATTCACAGCCATAATGGTCTCAGCTACAGATAAGTACAGAGGTATTGGTGCAGGCAACTATCATGAAGTTTATAAATGGTGATGAAATCCAGTTCAACTCTAATTTCCTTTGCAAGATAGAAGGGAAGGTGCACTTTTCATTTTCATCCTGCTGAAACTGATTTCAAGGATTAGCATACTCTTTTAGCTGCTTCCCCCAATGGTCTCTCCTGGATATTTATTGGGGCCGGGTATCTTCTTAAAAACGGATTGTCCAATTTAAACCTGCAAGACTTGGCACAGTGCCAATAGAAATGCCTGCAAATTTAGATAGCAACTTTTATGGAACCCAGTGGG